TGATCAGCGGGTCTTGAATTAGAATTTGGAAAAAATTGTACTGGAAACCTATGGGGTTGTGTTACACTGGTTGTTTAAAATAGGGCCAGATGACATTTCTAATACCTGTGTTGTAATGCTCAGTGTATCTCTGTCGACCCCCTTGGGCAAACAGGGAGATGCTGCTGGCCCACAGGCATGAGCAGGGGTCCTTGACGCGATGCGGATGCTCTCCACAGATTCCTGTCCCCAGCAGCTATCCGGGCTATTTCTGTGCTCATCTTGGTCTCTCCTGTGTGAATGCCCCATTGAGCTAGGATCAGGGCACTGCTTAAGAGATTGGGAAAAGGTAGAGAGCTAAACTCTGGTGTGTTTGAGACAGAACTAGAGTGAAAAGGAGGTGAAAAGTCAGTGATCCTAGGCTGTGCTCTCTACACCTGTCACAGACACCGTTTGACCTGTTCACTTCTCTGTTCCTCAGTTTAACCTACCTGTCATGACAGTTACTCTCCGCTACAATTATTATTAATAATGTGACTATTACATAGCACCAGGGGTTATGCCTGATGCCTTCCAAAACAAATACATTAACGAGTATTTGTTAATAGTTTCTCCGCTCCTTGTTTCCAGATGGGAAGAGGAGAGAGGAGCAGGCTGCCCCTGTGATCACCCTTTGTAATCTGCAGCAGGACCTGTCAGGAGAGGGCTGCAGACCATTAGAAGCCCCAAGGAGAGACTGCAGAGCCCTTCAAGACTGCTGGCATGGCTAGGCAAGGCACCTCACAGGGAGTTCCCGCCTTTGCACTTCAGTAATCAGTATAACAGTAGTTGTCTTTGAAAGAACACCAACCCTCTTTCCATCATCTTTCCCATGTAGCTGTCTTCTGCCCCTCTGCCACACATAATATTTCAAAGGGTCTATTGATAATGCTTGCTGTGAGGCCTTAATACCCTTAATGTCGGAAGACAAAAGATGAGTAACAGTCACACAGCGAAAGTTATCTGGTTAGTTTAAGTAGCACAAAAATGTATAGTAAACATTTGTATAAAAGCCAGGTAAAATGCAAGGCAGAGTGCTCCAGAAGGAAATAATTTTTGTAAGTGCACCAAAAGTGGCATTTAAGAGCAAGGTTAAGTTATGAAACATGTCCTTTAGAGGAACCATTTTGAAACAGGCCATTGTATTTCTCTGTAATTATTTCTCTTATTGGTAATGATCCACCAATATTAATTGATGGATATTTATTGATTTCACGTGTGCCCGCTTAAGTGAAGCTTCATCATATCTTAAAGAAATTGATACAATTCAGGGTCTTTGCCCTAAAAGCTAGTGCAGCGAAAGCTAGCAGTAGCAAAGTCTTTCTCCCAGGACACTTTATCACCAGTGGAAATGCAGCCCTGGGTGAAAGCCTGATGCCAAATCCACGTGATAGCTAACTCCCACCAAAACACTGTATCAGCAGCTCCGATGCAAAATAGGAAACTGGGGACAAACAAGTCTTAGACTTTGCGGTTAGGAAAGAGGGAATTTC